TGAAATTCTGTGCCCATTAGATGTATTCCTTCCTCCTCCTGGTCCCCGACAGTCACCTTCCACTGTTTGCCTGTAAGAATTTGACTATATTGTGTTACCACATAAAAGTGGAATCATGCACTAGTCTATCTTTTTGTGACTGGCTTCTTCACTTTGTGAAATATCCTCCGTATTCATCCACACACGGCAGAGTTCCCTTCCATCTTGAGGCCACTGTCCTGCTGTGTGTACATACCACATCTTATCCCCCTCCTGCACCTGTCCATGGACTTTGGCTCTATCTCCAGGATTTGGGTTACTGCAATAATTGCTGCTACATACATAGGTATACAATCAGCTCCTCATCCTTCGGTTTTTTAGGGCTTATAGGGTGTTCAGGGTCTCACTACTAGATCAGACTTGTAGTGATCTGCCTGTTTACAGCCTCCCAAGAGCTGGGACTACAGGCGCATGCCACCATGCCCAGTCTCAATTGCCATCTCAGCATGCCTCAGGGGTGGAGCCAGCATGGCAGGCTGGGGAATTGAACCCCTGGCCCCTGCACCTGCTTTCAGGCACTTTAATTCACTGAGCTACTTGGTCTGCCATCCTCTGTGGGTTAAAATGTAATGTCCTTCCCTCATGTATGCATTTCTTTTTTTGAAAGTTTCCTACTGAAACATTTTATTGCTTTTGATGATACTCATGGGAAACAGCTCAGCCCATAATTCATTGCAGCCTGGACTCAATGACACCAACTTGTATTGGGGCCAATTTGAACCAAAGCCAAATAGGATTTTTCTTAGGTCTATTTAATTGATACATAGCACGTCACTGGTGGCTTTTTCATATTATCTTTAACAAGAACTCATAAGTCATATTGATTATGCCCCAAGAGATGAGGGACCGATGATAATTCAGATGGGCTCCCCTGAAGAGATTTGTCAGCTTCCTGTCCCATTCTAGCCACATTGTTTTGAAAACCTTGGAGAAAGATGGAAACTCCCCACCAATCTGAGACTGTATGCAAGTTTTTACAACATTAACTGGAAAAAACCAGAACTCCAACATGGCACCCAATACCTCTGCACAGATAAAGTCATTAACCAGATGAGCACTGTGAGGGGTGGCTGTAGGGAGATGCTCCTTAATGGGACCTTGAAGGCCAAAAACAAGGACATTGCTGAATCCACTATGAAAAAGGATGGGCACCAAGCCTTGATACTACTCTCGAATTCCATGGCATTTCAGTGCACGGAAGGCCTGATAAGTGCTTGTGAGTTTGTCGTGATGCTTGTGGTCTTGCCGCAATGTCTGAACCCTTTCCAGTGGAGTGAAAGTGGCTTCTGTTGTCCCTGCCAGGATTGCCGCCACACCCCGGGTCGCAAACTCGGGAGCACCGACGTGCTTATGGAGAAGGCAAGATGAATCCTCGTACAGACCAAACATAAGCGCCAGGGTAGTTGTTTTCTGCATTAATGGGGGACGGATTCCACAACACAAGTTTCGAAATCCAGCCCTCCTCAATTGAAGCACTGCACCCGGGTTTGGATCCCATAAAGCTGCTGCCGAAAGGGGACCTCTGAACGCGAAATGGGACTGCTATGTTGGTGAAAGCTGCAGAGCAGCCGCACAAGTGACGCTTCATTTCACCAACACTAGTAATGTGAGGCGATACGTCTTGTTCTGAAGATGTTAGGATAGGTGGTCTCTTTTCATGAGCTTCTGAACCCATCATGTTGCTTCCGATCTCTGCTGTTCATGAAGGATTTTTTAAACCTCTATAAGACATTTGTTCCCATAAGTTGCAAGCTCTTTCCTTCTAGTCATATAAACTTAATTTTCCACAAAAAAAGATTTAAAGAGTTGAATTATCCAGAGCAACTCCTACATTCCAAGACTGGTGCTGGAACGCATCTCTGTCTGTGACACCAGCTGACCCTTGCACTGTAGGGAATGACAGATGTTTGGTAACTTTCTCAATTTCTTCCATTTCTACTGGTCTGTTAGATTCCCTCTTCCGGAGTTAATTTTGATACCTGGATTTCCATGGCCGCAGGCGCTAGCGCACGCCCATGCCTCCCACCCGCCGGATGGCCCGTGACCCATGTATGCATTTCAACTCTGTCCATTGCATCAGGGGCCTATTGCCAACCCCAGGCCTCTGGGTGGTGTAGCACCTGTCAGGCCTCCTGGGCACTGTCCCACACCAGGACACTGAGCAAGGTGGCACAAGGGCTGAGTTCAAGCTGAGCTCCACTCACCATGCCCTGCACCTGGGAGCATGAATCTGCTCAGGCGCTGTGCTCTTCTCCAGTCCAAGGCAGGGCCACCTGATGTGTCGGCTGCCTCACCGCTTCCTGTCTTACCCCTTGGTAGGGCTTTTCATTTCTGTTCCCTTTGTGGCTTCTGGGGGCCTCCTTGTCTTGCTTCTGGATTCATCTATGTACTTTATTCCTTGTGTTAGTTCTAGATGCTCAGGACAGGAATGTCTTAGTCAGTTCAGGCAATGTAACAAGTACACCATAGCTGGGCAGCTAAATAACAGCCACTTGTTTCACCCGCTCTGGAAGCTGTGCGTCCACGGTCTAGTGTCAGCAGACCCAGTCTGGTGGGGGCGCACTTACTGGTTTGTGGCTGGTTCTCTGTTCTTGTACCCTGATGTGATGGACGGCAGAGTGACAGAGGAAGCAAACTGTACAGTGTCTTATTTAAAAAGGGCTCTAGTCCCACGTGTGAGGACTCCGTCCACATCACCTCCCACAGATCCCACTTCTGAACAGCATGTCATTCCTGACTAGGCTTTAAAATTTAGTCCATAACAGGAAGAAAGATTATTCATTGAGTAGAAGTCATGACCCCTATTCATGTTTTAAAACAATACATATCTCGCCAGATGTGGTGACACAGACCTGTCACCCTGGCAACCGGGAATGGAGGCAGGAGGATGGGTAGTTAGAGGCCAGCCTGGTCTACATAGTGAGTTCAAGGTCCGCCTGGATTCATAGTGAGGCTGTATCTCACAACAAACGAACAATGTATCTATTCTTCCAAATTAGACATGGCCGTTAATTATAATAAAAGGAACAGGAGATGGGGCAACTATAATAAAGGAAGCATAAAAATATGAATTTATTCAATCAAAAGCAAAGAGACAAATGCAAGTAATGCCAGGAGCATATTTATGCTAAAGGGAACTACTGAAAAGAAAAGGCTTAGTTGCCTGTTTTGAAAGTCGAGACAGAGAGAGAAATGTGGTGAGTCGTATTTAGAGCACATCATTTGGTAACTAACATTACATAAAGTATTGTGAATATTTTTCTAGTATTCTGAAACTCCCATACAAATGTAAAAGGATATACCCTCTTTGCCTCATAACACAGAGGGCCATGCGAGCCAGTCATTCCAGTTGAGTGTGTGTAAGCCCCGACGGGCTCACCTGCAGTTGCTGTCCTACCCCGAGACTTGGACATTTCTGATTTGGACTGCAAAGCTGTCCCTGCTTTTCCTTGTTAAAGCCTCGGGAGGGCAACTAGGGAAGACACTGTCCTGCTCAGTCTGGCCGGCTCCACTTGAAGTGGAATTTGAAGGATTTTACTCTCAAGGCAAAGGCTCTTAATTCTCTGTTGTTCTTTCCCTTGCAGAATGGCCTGGGAACAGGGAACATGAATGTTGCTGCTCGTCTGGAATGGGAAGCTGGACGCCTTAGCGCAGCCTGAGCGCTCTGAACTTAAGTGAGAAGCCAGACATCAGAATTCATCCTAGTTTGGGAGTCCCTGGGTGTAGCCTAGAGTATTTTCATTTGTTTTCTCTTTCCATCGGCCAAAGAGAAACTGTAGTGGTGAAACCCGCCTGGAAACCACACAGCGGATGGGTTGACTTGAACCGTTTGCTGCAGGCTGCAGGGAACACGTCTAGCCTCCCCAGCTAGCAAAAGAAGGCCCCTCTTCACACTGACGCTTTGCTCAGTCTTTAGAACACTCCATTATTTTTTCCCTTTTTTGTATTTTTAGTACAGGATCTACAGGGTCTCACAGATGGGACTCGTAGTGATTCTATTTTCAGCCTCCCACGCGCTGGGATTACAGGTGCGCCACCACGCCCAGTCTCAGAACACTCCATTTTGCACAAAGTGGCTGATGTCAGAGCAGCCAAAGCAGGAGGGAAATCCCTGCTATACAGAAAGGTGAGTTTCAAATCCCTGCTATACAGAAAGACTCGCCCTAGTGCTCACAATGGAATAAGGGAGGGTGGGTTTCTCTGGGATGAAAGGGATGCAGTCAGAAAGAGACAAACCAAAGAGGGAAAAGAAGAGACAGAAGTAATATTTCTGTAACGTGGAAACAAGTAGTCTGTCCTCTTTAGGATTCTGTTCTCTAGTGCAGAATGCTAATCTCCCAAGCCCAGCCCACTGTCTTGCTGGCTACTGCTAATCTAGTTCTGAAGCAGTCCTGTGAGGGAGGGTAGGAGGCAGGAGAGCTCTGTGCCCAAACATCTTACATGCAAGAGAGCATGCCAGAAGATGGAGAGGTGGCTGATGCTCCGCAGAACTGGTCTGTGAGTAGGTGCTTCTAGCACCCCTACTGACAAGATTGAGCGGGTGTTAGTGATTACCTGCTCAGAACCTCCGTTAGAGAGGAGGATGAGTCCTTCATGGGATCGCTTAGCTGTCCAGGCCATGCTGTGCTCTCTGTGAGCCCGAGAAGAAGCCTAAGCAGTGGTTCTTCCTCCAATTCCCTCAGTCTTCCGACCCCCACAGCTGGTGCCCGTAAAGCCGCATCTTCCTGTGTCGAGCTATGCAGTCACTTGATCCTGCAGGGTGGACAGAACGCAGATGTACTGCTCTAAATTCATCTCTACACATTCTCACATGCAGAGTGCTGAGATTTTAAGCTAGTCTGTTTTTACTTTCCTGGTATAACTGTTTCTGTGACACAGGCACAGCAGTGAGCGTATGTTCCTCCCAGTAATTGGTTGGAGAACTCACTTCCAACCATTACACTCTTCCCAGAGGTCTACATGACTCTGTCACCTCAGTTTATCACAGTGCCCACCTGCAGTGCCACCCAAGGCCTCCTCCTTGTCATGTGTCCTGTTCCTGGGCTGGCTCTGATCTTTTCTGCACAAACTCTGTCGCATGCACTTTTAGGATCTGCTGGCATTGTGCTGCCCTCTCCCCTCCTTTCTGGACTGGGTGCTGACCTTTGGGGTGACCTTCCCAGTGCTCTCCTCCTCCTTGCCTGGCCCTGGCGCCTGCTTCCCCAGTCGCAGAGCGCCCTCTAGGAAACGCATTTTGCAGGAAGCCGGCCTCTTTGCACAGGTATCCATTTCATCGTGGCTGTATTTTTAGTTTGTGTGCAGTCTCTGAGAATTTGACCACAGAAACATTCCCAAGAAGAAGCAGGACACTAGGGAGCAAGAGGGAAGGTGGGGCAAGCAAAGAGAGGGGAGAAGAAGGGGCCAGGCATGGGAGGACCCTGGACAAGTAGGGGGAATTCTGGGTTAAACCCTAACTAAGCACCATCTTACAATGTTAGACCATGAGCAGAACCCTTCTTATATTTGTTATCTGTGACACGGGTGTCTCTTCCCACTTTTCAGAGGCAGGAACTGGGCTTTACATTAAAAATAGCATATCTGGGATGACGCAGCGGGAGAAAGCCGAGCTGGACCCAAGACTGCTGACGTTGGCGTTCCCTCCGCTGCTTCAGTTCCTGTGCCAGGAAAGGTGAGGGCCTTGGTGAGCTCAGGGGAATCAGGTTCTCTTCCAAAATGCTAAACTTTTCACAAATTAAAAAAAAAAGTTAAGATTTAAGCCCGTGGTTGTCATGACTTATCTTTTTGTGGTAACAGAATTGTTTCAGTGGTACTGGGGATTGAACACAAGAACTTCCCACTGAGCTACATCACTGGCCCTTTTATTAAGTTTTTATCTTGAGACAGGGTCTCCCTAAGCTGCTGACTTTCCCAGGCTGGGCTTGAACTTATGATCCTCCTTCCTCAGCTTCCCAGAGTGCTGGGATCACCAGCGTGGGCCATCGTGCCTAGCCAATGAATGATTTTTAAATTATGCTTGTTTTTATAGCAAGAAAGAATCAATCATTTTCCAAACTGAGAATACATCTTAAGAGGGAGGCAATAATACACTGAATGAAAGTGTGGAAGAATAAATCTGCTTAAAGAGAAATATTGCTTCTAAAAATCCCAGAGGCGAGGGCCTAAATTCCAGGCAGCAGGCGGCCCCGGGCAGAGGCCGACGGCGGAGCCTTCTCAGTGCTAGGCCACTTCTCCTTGTGTGACTTATCAACCTTATGGGCTTCTCTTTGGCCTTCTGTGTTTTGTGAAGAGTTCTTAAAGTCGGGCGCCCGCTGAGCTGAGGACTTGGAGACACTGCTGTGTCACCGTCTTTGGAAAGCAAGCCCCAAGATCGCTGGGAGGCAGTTTTCAGTCGGGAGAAAGCAGCACAACAAGCCCCCAAACAGCCCCCGTCAGCTGAGCTCCTGGGGCCACCCAGCCCGGGGAGGGAGGGAAGGAGGGAGGGACAGACGGCTGCTGGCTGCTGCCGTAGGGAATCTGAGCAGAAGCCCCTGGGCAGGCGGCCTCTGCTGTGCCAGGCTCCTGCCTGAGCTGGGAGTCAGGTTGCCGCTCCGCCTGCCCGAATTGCCCTGTAATAAACTGTGCAGAAGACTCCAGCAGAGTGCTGGGGTGTCTGAGGTCATAGAGTTCTCTGTAAATTAAGGAGAAAAGTCAAGTCCAGCAGCATAATTCTATCTCTAAGCCAAATCTGGGTAATGGGAAAGGACTTCCAAACAACACTACTTAACTCTTTCTGGGCCAGCATCCCGAAAAGGTGGGCTGGCCTGGAGGGTGTCACCTCACGCCCCCACCCCCACAGTGGCCCAGCAGGCAGCAGTCCTCAGCTTGAGCTTTGTGGATTTACTATGCGAAGGGGAGAGGTGGGAAGAGGAAAGGAAAGAGACCTTATTTTGATTTTTTAAAATAGAGAGAGAATGGCAATGCCAGGGTGTGCTCAGGGACTTCCTCAGCCCCAGGGAACCACAGTCTGTGGGCCCTGACACCTGCACTCAGTCCTGGCCACAGCTCCGCTCCTGCTCCAGGCCGGGCGGAACCCTGAGTGCACGGAGCCCGCGACGCCTGCCTTAGGTTGGGCCGTGCTGAGCACCAGCATTCACCCAGTGTCACCCCAGCTACAGCCCTGGGAGACGGCCCCGGTGCTGCCCGTGCTCCTGCTCTGGCTGTCCCTGAACTCTAGGGCACAGCATTTGTTGGGCAACCACAGAGCACCAGGTTGGCTCTGGGCCAGGCGTGCTCCCTCTTCTTTCTGCAACTTCAAAAGCGAACCAAGCCCAGTTCACCGGGGACCATGTCAAGCATTTCTGCCAAGCTGAAGTGCACACAGCTTGCCAGGCAAGCCTGGAGGAGGGCAGTACAAACTGCCTGGGGTTCCCCTGCCTTTAACCCTGTCCAGCTGCCGCCCATTGCTCCGCCCCCTCATGCAGGTGCATGGCAGTGGGGGGCTGCACGCCTGCAGGTGTTGGGGCTGCCTGGGGTGTGCTTCCCTCCTCTGCTGTCTGCTGGAGGGAGGGGCGATGGAAGGGCTGAGGAAAACAGTAGCGTGGGCCATATTAACAGTAGCGTGGGCCATATTAACAACGGCTCCCATTTTTTCAAGATTCAGGTGTCGCATGGTTTCCGTGCATTCCAAAGCGAGTTTATCTTTACTTTACAGATAAGAAAACTAAGGCTTTGATGCCTCACTGCTAACAAAAGATGGAGCCTGTGTTCGGATCCACATGCCTGAGTTGGAAGCCTGTGCTTTTTTCATCGTCCTGCTGCCTGCTCATCTTCCTCCAAATGAGAGCATTGTTCTTCAGCTTTCCGGGAATTCTGTGAGCTACCCAGATCTTTGCTTTGTTCTTTCAAGCATCACAATGTTTATAAATATATGCAGTTATATAAACCCAGCGCATGAACATGATCTGATAGCTCAGACTTTGTACTGATTTTCTTTTCCACGCTGCTATTTAACGGGAAGCTCAGAGATAACGCATACAAACCCGAGTTCCTGGGGCCACACCGTCCTATCACGCCTCGCCTTGTCCCCCTCCTCGCGACTCCGCTCCCCTAGGTGCTCCAGGGAAACAGCCCGATGCCGTGTTAAATTATTTTTCTGCCATAAAACAGCAGCAAACACTGAAGGCTCTACTTTTCAAATCATCTGACTCTGCCTCTCATTGCTGCCACCCCCAGATCCAAGATCTATTTGCTGTCAGCTGGGTGATTGTAAGAACCTGTTCCATGCCACTCATCTTCTCAGTAGACCAGTCAGCTCCACACACTGCTGAAATAAACTGCTAAGTCCTGCTAAGGGCTTAGGGCCATGTAAGAGCTTCCCTCCCTCTCCGAATGATTTTCCCTTCTCGCCACTAACCGGACTCTGGCCACACACACCATCTTGTCTTCCTGGAACTTCCCCTGGCCATTTGTATTGCAGGACTTTACACTTGGCATTTGCTCTGCCAGGAAACCTATCCCAGTTACCCATCTGGTCTGCTCCCTCTTTCCTGAGATCTCTGCCAAAATGTTACTTTGTCAGTGAGGCCACCATTTAATAACTATGGTAGGTAGTGTCTAAAAATGGTCTCTCAGTGAGCTTCACCCTGCAGCATTCAATGCCTTCTGTGGCCTTCTCTGCGATTGAGGGGACCCTGTGACTCGTTTTGGCCAGCAGAGTGTGGCACAGGCCACACCTGCATGACTCGGAAGGCTAGGTCGTAAGAAGCTTTGCAATTTTTGCTTGGATTTCTGGGAACACTCGTGGGTGGTGGGGGTGCGGACACAGAGACATACAGTCTATGAGAAGCCTGACTACTGATCTTCCCACTTTGCGAGGAAGCCTAGGGTAGCGAGGGATGGGTGCTTTGGAGACACAGTGACGTGTCAGACGCTAGGGGCCCCAGCCTTCTTGGCCGAGGGGCCAGCCATGTGAATTATGAGGACATTTTTTATGCCCAGTGTACCCTATTCTCTACCTACCTCCAACCTCAGTTGTCATAGGATTGTAAGGACTCCAAGCGGGAATCACCGAGTTAACCTACAAAATCATGATGAATTTTGGTGTGAACTCCCAGGGTATTGTGCCGTGCAGCAATGAACATCTGGAGCAGGAATCAGTGGAAGCCGCGCCCCCATCCATGGGGACACTCCACCTCCTCCACACTGTGTTTCCTCTTCCTTCATTGCTCTTACCACCACCTGGCTTCCTGTGTGTGGACCTGTTTGCTATCATCTCCAGCGAAGTGGAGACCAGGGACGGCAGAGAGCGCCTCTTCACAACAGTAGCCCTAGTGCCGGAAACAGTAGCGGCCTTCAGGCAGGCGCTCAGTTAATACTCTTTGGATGAATGCATGTGTTCAATTTACTTTGCTAAGGCCTGTTTTTTGTACACATAACAAATCCATAAGAGAAGTGACTGGAAGTAGTTTCAGTAGTTCCTGCCTTCGACCTTCCCTCCTATGGACACACTGTCTGGAGCAAGCGAACCTGCTCAGTCTCTGCCTTCACGGAAGGAGAGCTTCTGAGCAGGGAGAGGTAAGGTCCTTCCTTTAGTGTGTACTGACCTCTGGAGAACAGGACCAGGACCAGTTCTCAGGACCAGTTCTCCTCCGCCTGGCATAGTCTTGTGTTGGAGTCCCGGCTCCGCGATGTGATGGTATTAGGAGACCAGGCCTTTGGAGGGGCCTGGGGCATGGGAAGAGAAGCTTCATGAGTGGGAATATTCCTTTATGAAAAAGTCCTCTAGCTCTCTTTCTGCCACACCATGAGCAGAAAGCAGGCTCCCACTAGATGTGGAATCTTCTAGCACCTTGATGTTATTTATTTATTTTTTTTGGCCGAGGGATTGATTTCAGTCCGTTGCTTTTGCTTGGCAGGCGCTTGTTTTTTTTAGTGATCCCTCTTGGCGGCTTCTTAGCTGCTTGTTGTTGTTTTTTGTCGTCACCAGTTGTTATTAGCCGGCGTGGTGGTGTTGTTGTTCGGCGGCACCACCTGCTTCGTAGGTAGTAGGTGGTCCTTTGTTTTCTTGTTGTACTAAAAAAAAATTGTTTTTGGCCTTAACCTTTTTTATTCCCCCCGGTTTTGTTTTTTTTTGTTGGGGCCTTGGGGTTCGGCCAGTCTATGAGAACTTCCCCTGAACGTAACCTAATGGAAGTACCTAGGATCAAGTCAAGCCCCGCTGGGGGTCCCTTCAGTCCACTTGTACTGTACACAGCCACCTCCCTTCACTCATTTCTGGAAAGACAATCCCTTTCCACTCCAAATGACCTGCAGAATGCCTGGACACTCTCGCATACTAAAATATGAAACGTCTACATTTGCATTTTATTGGTCAGAATGAAAGAAAGCAGTTGGGATGAAAAAGACTGAACTTGAACGTTTAAAGTGATTTAAAAGTTTGGAAATAACAATTTTTGGGGGGGTGGGGAGATGGCTCAGTAGAATAAGTGCTTCCCTGGCAAGCACAAGGGTCTAAGTTCAATCCCTGGTTCAGTTTAAGATCTCATCTCATTATAAGGGACAGAAAAAAATAAATAAATAAAGTCTATTGCCAAATTAAAAAAAAAAAAAAGAGCTCATCTCAACACTTCTGCCAGGATAGGGACGCTCTAGCCATTAGTCTCATTTATAGCTTATTCTTGGCACTTCCAGACAAAGACGGAAGCTCTTGGATTTTCGGGGAAGTAAGTGTGAAGAGAGCAGAGCCTGACCCCGGGCCGAGTGTCCCTGAGTGTCACATGCCCACGAGGTCTGCACACCTGCCAGCTGCTGTCCAGGTTTCTGACAACACCTTCTGGGCTCAGCAGGTGCATTTTCCCAGGCACCAGCCACGTGGTGCCCACCTTTGAGACACAGAAGGAGAGAAGAGCCTGTATGTCCCGAGTCTCAATGCCTCACGTGCCTGTGACCAATGAGGACGTGGAGCTGGTGCCCCCACCGCAGATACCTGCGTCGCACTTTCCTCAGTGTGCCCTAGGTGCCCTGGGGGTGCTGCCCGTCTCACTCTGTTGTATGACACTAATGGGTCATTTCTCCAGAGAATGGAGACTGTAAAAAAATAGTCAAGGTTTTACTTCTCTCTGGGCTGAAAAATTCTCCAGCTTTGCACCACTAGCTTTTTAAGATTCTTTTACTCCCCTGCCTCCCTGTGATTCCTCTAACCTAAGAGCGAAGCTGGTATCCTAGCGAAGCAACCCATTTTTAAGATTAGAAAACTGAGCTAGAGACACTTACCTCAGCCAGGAAATGAGACAAGTCTTCAGATGCAAAGTCCCTGCATTCTCCATCAGCAAACACCGTGCGGTTACAGGACTGTAACTGAAAGACTTCAGGGGAAGTCCTGGAGTTGGGTCTCAGGGCTGCACACGCCCCTGGCTGCCCTTTAGAAGAGAAACTAGGCTCCAACCCCTTGCAAATGTAGCTGAAAACAGTAAGTATTCTTCAGGTTTCTTCTTAAAAATTCTGAATAGGAGCTTAGAACTAGTTTAGGTATTACTTAGTCCAAATCTAACATAGGTTATAGGGAAAAACTCAACATAGCCTTATTTGAAACTACTAAAAACACCTCTTTGGATGTGATTGTCACAGACACATTATTGATAAGCAGCATAGTTAAAACAAGAATATTATAATAAGGTCTCTTTAAAGTTATACTGGTCCTTTTTGTGTTAATAGCAAAATCACAGGTTTGAAATATATGGCAGAATGAAGGTGAAAAGGTTATTTTAGGAAGACTGAAAGTACGGTGGGAGATTTGGCTTTCATACAGGATTCTTCCAAGGAACTAGATTTAGGGTTTAGATTATCTCATGTGACTGTTTTATGAAGGCAGAAGTTTTTGTTAACCACTGACTTGCAAAATAGACACAAAACCTTTTTCCTTCAGGGACCAGCCCAGCTGCAGCTGGGGGTTCAGCAATTCATCTGCACATGCATAGTAATTAAATCTAGCTTCTAACAAACTTAAAGTTAAAGTTTAATGGCTTTTTATGACTGGGTAATAAATTGTAAATGAGTCCCGGATGGAGAGCTTAGTTTATACACACAAGCTTAAAATGTCAGAAAGTACTGACTGACATACTGAGAGGGTAAGAGGGCGTGGGTGCCCGTCCTCTGCATGTACCTCAGCTGCCACCCGCGCTCAGCCAGTCACTTCTCCATGCCTCGGCTTCCTTTTCGGTAAAGTGTGACAGCGTGCTTGGTTTTGGAACTAACATCCCTATAGTACTCATGTCCCTAAAACTTTGCCTGCGTATGATCTATCTTAAGTTTCGCACTTTGTTTTTTTGAGACAGTGTCTCAACTGTATTTTGATATTTATTTATTTTTATTTATTACATTTATTTATTGTGTGTGTGTGTGTGTGTGTGTGTGTGTGTGGCCAGCTCAGCCCACCAGGGGGCGGGGCTGGCTGGCATGTGGTGCTGGAGGATTGAACCGTGGTCCTTGTGCTTTGCCAAGCTTGTTTCAAGTAGGTGCTTTAGACCACTGAGCCATCTCTCCAGCCCTCGACTGTATTTTGAACTCACTTTGTAGCCCAGGCTGACTTGAACTTGGGGTAATCCTCCTGCTTCAGCCTCCTGGGTGCTGGGATTACAGGTGTGTACCACCACACTAGGTACTCTTTGTACTTTTATGAAGTAAAAGGGACAGCCACTGTTATCCCCATTATATGGATGGGAAAACTGAGGCTCCGAGAGGCTAAAATATGTGACCAAGTCACACAGAGAGCTAAGGCTCGGACACAGTTCTGTGTAAGCGGCTCCCACACCAGGTGCCTCTGAGAGTCAACAAGAAAGCCACCTTTAGTCATTAGCACCAGGCTCTTACAGTCCCCTAGGAACAGCGTGTTCTCTAGCCTGCAGGACCAATTGCTCCTTTGGTTCCTCAGCAGGAGAGACTAATTAAGTACTAAGTTAATAGCCAACTTTATAGCCCAGTTAATAGCAAAGTCACATTACACTGGCTCCGTCTTGTCAAAGCAGCCAGTTTTAAGACTGTGTGCTGATTTATGTCCCTGATATTTATTAGCATCTCTGGGCCCTGTGTAAGTGCATGCCCCCCTGCTGTGTCACTGGCACAGTAGCAGCCAGAACACATAAATAAACAATGTAACAAGTACTTAGCAAGCTTAAGATGCGACGCTGTTAGGTGTCTTCGCGCTTGCTCCTCAGATTGGTAGCTCCAAGTGGGTGGTGATTCCTAACCCGCCACTATTCTGGCCCTGCTATGGCCTGAGTCTAGATGTCCCCCCAAAGCTCAGGTGGTCACGGGAGG